ACGCCTCTGCCCGGGTGGGATGCGGGGCTCCGGGCACCCACGGGGCTATGGACGTGCTTTGCTTTGGAAGGGGAAAGTGGTGGAGGTGTCACAGGAGGTGGCACCAGCAGAGATGGACGAGGTGGTTTGAAGGTGATGGTGGGAGGAAAGCTGGGGAGATCCAGCTGCTGCCGGCAGAGAGGCTGGGAAAACTTGGGCTCAGGGCAGCAAACAGCTCGGGCAACTGCTACATGCACTTGATTTACTTGTTTAAATAAGAGGAACTATAGATCTGCCGCCATCATCTCCTTTCACCCTGAGGTGGGGTCCATCCCTCTGTGCCACTGCAGAGCAGGAGCAGCTGAGACGGTACCTGCAAACACTGTTTTGCTTTGTTTTGTGTTTTGAGCTGGCCGGGACGAAGCCCTTTGCTGGCAGCTGTAAGGCAGAGGAGGTACGGCTGCTCTGCCTTAGACAGCAAAAATACCGAGGTTCTTCAACATTGCTGGAGAGCTGTGAGAGTGCTTGCAGTAGCACTGGGCTTAAAAGAAAGTAGCCTCTTCATATAAAGCAATTAGCATTAATTGCTACCCAGCATCTCTTTGTTGTTTGAGGGCTCAGTGAGCTTTGTAAAGGACAGTTATGGCAGCTGTCACAGGCTGTGAGCTGGCCTTTTATTTTAGATTAAAAAAATAGCTTCTTCTAAAAGCATTTTTAGTAGGGCAAGATACATACACCACTGAAAAACAGCTTTTCAAGTACCATGTCTTTTAATTTAAATGCTCAGTCATATTTTTAGTTTGTGGCTGAACTGCTGTGTTATTCAGCAAAAGGAAGGAACTCTAAAATCCTTCTAAATCCTAAAACCTGGGATTTTTCAACACTGATTTTTCCCCTTTCCCAAGTCGGATGAATGCGTTAGAGCCATAATCGCATCAGAGAACTAGTGGGCAGGAAAATGAACTTCTTGTTTCTGCGTAGATCCTCTCCAGCGTCCGACGAGCTCTGGGCTGAACTTTGCCTCCCCGCGAGCTGGGGCTCGGCAGATGTCAAAGCCTTGGCAGCCGCTTTATGTTTCTGTAAACGCTGTTTGAACGAGAGCAAATTATTTCTTCCAATGGGCTGACGATGGTGGGCATCCTCACGGAGAAATTAGCTCTGTCGAGACCCCTAATTAGAGCTGGGCCACGCTGCTGCTCTCCCACCCGTGGGGCTGCCTTGCACAGCGGACGCTGGCTCCGACCGGCTGCTCCAGCTGCAGGCGTCAAGTTCGAGCAAGACTTTTGCTTTCCCCAGGAGCGTTTTGCTCTCTCAAACTTGTGTGGCAGGGCGGGAGGCAGTGAGGAGCATTGCAGCAATCCTGACCAAGCAGGCAGCAAGGTAGCCTCTTGCTGCTTAGAAGTAGATTCATTATTTCACGTTGGAAATGTCTGGGTGCCCACCAAAACTGTGCGGCTTGCAGAAGCTTAAAACCCCCCAAACTCCGCTGGTGTCTCTGCCTCCTGACAGCTAAAAGCTCTGGCTATGAAGTTATCCAAATTCAAAGAATCAAGGGTATCGCCATTCCAAACCCACCGCTTACTGAAATATAATTTAAGCAGTAAATAATGCAAAGCTGAGACTAAAATATTAAAATCCTCCTGCACGGAAGGATTGGATCTGCCAGGGCATGGGTGTTGAAATCTGATTTTTGCGGCATATTCCAATTACAAAGGAATTCTTTCAGGGTCTAACACTCTGAACAAGCAGCCAGTTCTGCTCACTTATCGCTAGATCTAATTCCCTGATCCTGCTACAAGAAAAAAGCAGCAGTGTGTTCCTGCGTGCCACGGCCAGGTTACAGCACAAAGAGCTCCTCTGTCTTCTGACGAGCAAATCCTCTTGCGTGGGTCCGTCTGTGTTGGAGGAGGTGTTTGTTTTGCCGCTCTTGTTAGCCTCTGCAGCCCAGTTCTCCTCTCCCCAAGAATGGGGGGTGTGTGTGAAGAAAACACGTAATTGGTGGTGTCAGTAAATTTTGGAAGCTTAATGCTGTACGTCCATAAGTAATTATGCCTTTCGTAGGCTGCCCAGCCTCTCCCCGCAGGCGGCAGAGCTCTCTTGGCCACGCACCCTGCGAGCATAACTGGCCCCTCTGCTGCCCGGGACCCTGCCCCGGGAAGGTCTTGCTGTTGGGAACCCCAACAGGCAGCTGCTACTGTGTTCAGGTCCCACCGGTGTCAGGGGTACAGGCTGCATCCAGAAGAGCAGCAGGGGTGCATTGCCATGAGTAGAGGGGGACATTGGGGTGCTGCTCGCAACACCTCCGGGGTGGCTGGAGACACAGCACATCGCTGCAGCCTGGGCACAGCCCCCAGCGCTGCCCTGCTCCGTGCAAGCTATGCCAGGCGTGTGCCCAAACACACCCAGGTGTGCCCTGAAGATACACGGGCACCTCCCCACAGCCACGACACCTCCGTGGCCCCCGAGGAAGGGTGGCAGAGGGAGCTCTTTGCCAGGAGGAAGCTCACAGCAGAGAAAGGCTGTGACTAAACGGCAGCATTTCACGTCAGCACATTCAGAAGTTTGAAAGCACTTCAGCTGCACAGCTGGCAGCAGTGGGGGTGGCAGAGGGAAGAGGTCCCATGAGGCAGAGCTGGGCTGGGGCTTGCACTGGGACGGGATCACTGCTACCAAGCTCCAAGGCTGTGGTGGGCTTACAGCCTCTTCCTTCACTCAGGAACCACCTTATCCACACCTCCAAGATGACTAGATAACCACCAACGTGAGATGGCTGTGGATGGGCGGTCCAGAGCTCACTATTTCTAATTCTTTTGGGGAAATCTTCAGTTCCAAGGATGCTTTAAAAAAGCCCAGCTGCCCCTTCTCCTGGAGAGAGCAGCCTAAGAACCAGAACGTTTGCATCCAAACAGCATCTGTTTGGATGAGCTTCACAGCCCTCCTGCCCTCGCTCCAGCTGAGCCAGTGTGCTTGCATCACCCTGGGGAGGGGGTCTCGCACTTTAACGACTCTTTTCTTCTGCTTCAGCTGGGGTTTGCACCCCGCACTGGACACCATGGCAGCCTGTGATATGCCTAGGAAGGAGCTGGGGCTGGGGATGGCTGGCTGCAACTCTGGCAGCTGCGACAGCATGGTCAGCACGGCCTCCAACCACTCGCAGCGTGTAAGTAACCCCATTGCACCCAGCTTGGGCACGGCAGGGGCTCAACTTGCCCCTCTCGGCAGCTGAGGAAGGATTTTGGCCAGATCTCTGCTTGAAACCGCTCTCCATCAGTGCTTTGGAAACACCTGGGGCCCTAATACAGCACCATGCTAAGGGCAGCACAAGGACCAAATTAATTCCTGCCCCAAAGCACTCCCAGACTTTCTGTCCTGTCACGTGTGTGGCAGTGATCAGGAGCCTAAGCTCCTGCAAGGTCTTCTCAGGGAAACGATACCGAGAGCCCAGCGGCTCCTGCATTGCCCAAAGATGCAGAGGCAGATAGTGCAGGCACTGGGCAGGAGGAGCCCAGGGAGTTCCCCAGTGATGGATTAGACCAGTTGGATAACTGGGTCAGACTGGCTCCAACAAGGGTGACTTCACCTGGAAAAGACAGCGACCGTACTCCTCTTGGCTGACAAGAGATTAATTTCCTAGTTAAGGCAGAGATGAGTTTGGACCATGGGTGTAGATGTGTAATTTTTCACTGTCCATTAAAGCTTGTTTGTCTCCAAACACCGATTCCAAGATTGATGGACTAATTACATCCTGTCTTACTTGGAGCATAATTGATACGTGTAAGTGTAGTGCTCAGTCCTGAACAGGTTTTCCATTTGATGTATTGCAAACCAGAACCAAACCCTCTGAAAATTATTAGGGATGGAAAAACTGGTTGCAATATTGCATGGTAAAAGATTTGGATAAGCGTCTCCCTGCAAAACAGCTCCACTTGGGACAGTTTCTCCTCTGTGCTTGTTGATCTGATGCACACTCCATCCTTTCCTGCACTTCGGCTTTTTCATGACATATTGCATGTATCACCTTGTAACTTGGCACCTCCACAGCAATCGTATCTCATGATATTTGAAATACAACAAAAATTAAACAGGATCTTGCTGGGGTATGAATGGAAGAACAAGGAGAGGGACCACCACCCGCCGATAAGCCTTCAGCATTTATGATATTTAGACAAGCTTCTAAGATTCAGCATTGCTGATCGGTACAGATGTCTGTACCTATAGACCACCCGTGTTACCCATCTGCTCATATTTCAAAGTAAACTGAAGAACTAAAAAGTGGAGGCCAAGCTTCCAAGTTAAGAATAACCCATCCTCTGATGCTCATAGCAGGGTAATATATAAATGGCCTTAAGTACTTTTTTTTTTGTTTAATAGGAAGTTGTTTAGTTTTCTGTAGCTCTAAGTACCAATTTTTGAATAGGCACTGGCCAAGTCTCCTGGCTGGGGGCTGTCACAGGTCTCCTCTTAACTGCCAGGGCTGTGAATAATAATACACCTGTGTCTCCTACCTGTACTGCCTTTTTTCCTTTTTTCAGAGTGATAACAGTT